AATAAAGATTGACTGAGTTAGCTTTTTGCACATGAACACCATGATGAAACCCAAAAAGGCTAACATTTGGACGGGGCGAATATAAGCCAGATAATTGTGCAAGTGCATTGAGAGGTCGGCTGTGAGGAACACCTGTCGTGGCTTTGACCTGTTTGAGATATTCTGACCCTTGTGGTAGTAGGTCTGGAACATAAATCTTGTTTCCCTCCAATAGATATTCCTTGGAGCTGAGTCGATGTTCCGGATAAGCATTGCAGCCTCCTCAGTTCCACGGGCAGGTTGACCGCAGCCGACGTGATAGATGAAGTAGATGTGCTCCAGAATGAGGTCTGCACTCTCTAGCCAGTCCCAGGCGTGTTTTTTTGAACAAAGTTGGTCCAAGTTGAGTGAGTAGTGACCATTCTCGAGCCGCATGGCAGACGTCCAGGCCGGAGAGAGGACGTTGGGTGGTGAGGATCCATTGAGCACCCAGTCTTTCAGAAGTTTAAAGTGGTACATCTGTTCATTGGCTGAGGCCACCAGATAGTTGAACCCAAGAGACGTGTTTGCACTTTGATCGTCTAGCTTTGAATAGAGAAAGTCGGGGAAGGAGGCCCCATGGAGGGTGTGTTGGATGACTGAGTTGATCGAGCATATTGCAATCCTCAGGGCTCTCTGCACAGCTGTTATGGTGATCTGGGTTGGGCCAATGACCAGCTTTGTCATTTCTGAATCGGCCCAGTAGGTTGGGTCTGGAGGTTTTTCGTTCATCACGATAGTTGAAGCCAGACGCATCCAATTCCGTATGGTGAAGAACGGAGAGATGAGTTTTTCGTCGTAAATGAACTGAAAATATGTTGATATGGCCGACTGCTCGAGCAGATGATGATCTTTGGGATCGATGTCTGAGGGAGGGTGTGCGTAAATCTCCTCAGTTCCTTCCAGGCAAGCAAAGACAGTGGCCACACGTATGACGTATTGAAGGGCAGCGATCGTATGAGTCAGATTTGAAGGGGAGAAGAAGGAGCCGTCTGGTTTGATCATTGAAAGGGCAATGAACTGCTCTAATGCTGATTGCACCTTTGAGCGTTTCAGGATGGAGGCGGAGAAAGAGGTGGAGTTCCAGAAGAGGAAGTTTAAGGCTCTGTCGAATTGGCCTTGAGCATCTGTCTTGTCACTCTGGATTGAGCTGAGACTAGCTGATGCCTTTTCTGCAAATTCAGACAAACGTCTATTGCTGGCTGACCAGAAATGTGTTGCTAGTGGCTGGCCGGTTGTTTCCAGAGTGAAGACAATGAATTCGGCTGCAACGGATGCATATTGAACAGCGGTACTCCTCTGTTGGAGGGCTCGGATTGGTCTTCTTGAAGGAGGATCATTGCTAAAACAAGGGAGTTAGTCAGGGGAGGATATGTATAAACAGTTTGGCAAGATTGTGGGGCTTACACAGACTCTCTGAGTGCCTCCATAGTCACTGCATCGTGAACCGAGGTGAGTTCTGTCATGCAGCCAATGAGCCACTTCTCCACGCAGGGTTTCCAGGTTGCCAGCAGGTTGGGATAGTGGACTTTGGTGTGAAGCTCCTTGGTTGAACATTGCAGTAAGTCGGTGCAAGCATTGATGTGTGCATGTATTCCAGAAGAATTGAGAAAGTTGGAGACAAGCGCCGGATGGGCATCATCTGAGGAGATTGTTACGGCCTGTTTATGGCCAAGGACATCCAGCTTGTTGAGGGCTGAGGAGAGCTGTTCCCAAGCCAAAACGGATGTGTTTGACTGACTCTCGGAGGGGGCAGCAGATGGAGCTGGTATGATTGCTGGGTGAGGAGCCGAATATTCTACAGGAAAGTAACGTATGGTCGAGTTGCTGAAGTGTTGAACGTAGGTCCGTTGTGAATTGGAAGCCCATCCGCCAGGGACTGTTGATGAAGATGTGAGTGATTGGAGCAGGACTTTGGGCAACTGAATCAAGACCAAATGTAGCTGACCATCTTTATGAATATCAGAGAAATGGTTGCTCATAGAGCTTTCCTTTTGGACCGCATGACCACAGATGGACCCTCTATGAGGGACCGCACAGATGATCCCTAGTTTGAGGTAAAGGCCCTCTACTGGCTTCCAGGGCTGGGATGCCCTTGGTGGGGTGCGTTTATTCTCAAGAGGAACAGTGACATTGATTGATTTGAAGGCTTGGATGATTGCATCTGGAATGATGTTGTTGATCTTGTGGGGGCTGCTCCTCAAGTGGCCGGCGACTTCCTTTGTTGGCACTCCGCAGTGGCAGTCGAGACAGACAAGGGTCTTGGCGTAAGTGTTGAATCCCAAGAATGGAAACTCCTTGGTGACTACATTGATATGAAGAGTGTGAGCAAAGGTAAAATCTTCTGAGATATACCGGCCAAGTGTGGGGCCACATACGTGTGATCTGATTTCCTGCTGGGATGAGGGTTGCCAAGCTACTAGGAGGCAGAGGCAACACTTTGGGTCTGTCGTTGAAAGAATCGGGATTACAATTTTTGACATGTTTTTGAAAGGTTCCGGGAATTGGGGAAGACCAAGTACAATGCTTGGTAGGACAGTGAAAAGTTCCATCTTGATTTCTATGTACATGGAAAGGAGCAGAAGAAGTGGCGTAGGGAGTGCAGAGGGTTGAGTGTTGGTGTACCTCTCTTTGATGTTTTTTGAGTGACTTGTCGTCAGCAAAGGATTGGACACAGCCAGGTTCGCTGCAGGAGATTTTTACAGTAGAAGGAGATGAAAGAGTGGGCTCAGACATGCTGCAGTGTGCTTTGTAAGTGTTGAGGTATAATGATCAGACCTGGACTAGAAGGATTTCTTTATAGGAATAAGTCAAATTTATGTGGTGAGACTGTAGACGGAAGTGTGTTCTCTGGAAGGAGACCCCCTCCCTATTGATAGGTCTTTATATACAAAATCTGACCCTCACCCGTGGGAGAGTCATCCACAGAGTTGAATAACATTGAACGCAAAAGATACCAGAAGAAAAGGATGACATGCTTGTT